ACACTACTAGTTGGTTAATGTGGAGGTAGTTAGTGCTGCAGACACACTACTAGTTGGTTAATGTCAGCCAAATGTTCACCTGAGCACAGGTGTGTGCTGCGTCATGCTAAAGCTAGTTTTCTCTTCTCAGGGTAATGTAGATCATGTCTGTCCTGGATAGTCTCAGCCTGTATGAGACAGAACCTGGTCTCTGAATCCATCAGTTCAAGATCTACTCATTTCCATTTGGTGTAATCCGTTGATTGTCATCTGCCCAATTCTGCAACAGTCAGCCAGTATGCTGCAGGGCAGTAGCGCCCATACGCAGAACATGTAGACGCTGATCAACTGCTCATGTAAGGAGCAGACCATTCACTATATCCAAATGGTGCTAATGAATTGTGTTTTGCATAGTTAGTGTCTAGCATTGTGTTGTGTAGGGGCTGCATGTGAAGCTTTAGGCCTTCAGCATTGTGTGGCAGTTTTTGTAATGCACTTGTTCTCCTCTCTGGGTTTTCTGAGCATCCCATTGTTATGCTAAACACTAGCATTTATTCTAGTGTCTGTCACTGTGCCACTGCTTTGTTCTCTTCCTCCACATCGATCCTCTCATCCATGGATGACTGTAGCAGTGACTCAGAGCAGAGAACAGACAGGCCTGGCTTTAATCCTCTTGTTTGAGGACAGAGGGCACACTCTGGTCAGGCTCTTTGGTTTTAGCCTTTAGGATTGTCTGTTCTGTCAAAACTGAGCTGGAAAAAATTAGGATTTAGTGACTGACAAACTGCGGATTTGGAATAGAATGCAAAATATGGTCAGACTAGAGCATGTACTGTGTGTTTATTGATTGTTGTATGTGCAAAGCGGCAACCTCCAGGGCTAAGAAATAAAGCAGTGGCTCAGTGCCATAAACTGCAGTACCTCAAAGGGCCACTGGAGGCTAGCTGTAAAAGTGAGTCAATCAAAACGTCAGGCTCCTTACCAGATGATTGTACATGAAATAAAAACAAAAATCAGATAGAAGAGCAGAGGGCTGAACTATGAAGCCTTTTCAACAGATCCAGACTTTCTCTGTGCAGCGGCTCCACATGAACCAAAGCTCCAGCAGAGACCACATGAAGGAGGTCCAGCTTCCTGCTTCAGACTCTGTTCTCATTAAAGGAGGCGTTAAGGCGTCACGTGACTCTTCTTCTGCCCT